GTGTCTACGCATAAAGATACGCGCGTCTAAATACATTCATAAAAACATCGATCTCAGGAGCCGATTCTACGCGACAAGAGTACCTACTCGCGTACGAGACACGTACGCTCACACTTATCGCGCACGGCGTCTCTAGGAGCATCGCGACTCAAGTCGGCCGCGCATATCGGGCCGGTCGATTAAACTAAAATTAACTCGACCGCCTCGAGCGAGTTCCTTCGTTTGATAGCGCCTTCGCTCGGCCTACTCCGCAATTCCGCTCTGGTCCGTTCTCTTCCGTTTCGTTCCGTTTCGTTCCTGATAACTGCGTTATCAGATAACTCCTCTCTGCTCTGCTCCGTTGCAACCCGTTGCAAACCGTTGCTCCTCTGCTCTGTTTCAACTTTTCATCTTCTCATCTTTTTATCACGACTCTGATCCTCCTCTCTACCAACTGCTTCCAATCGATCTATCCTTAGATTTCGGAAAGCTGGACATTATTTATGGCAGTGACGTTGCCACGCAACTTCCACCGGGACTGTGTTCATTTTTATTTTCCTAAGTTTATTTCTTTTTTCTTTATCTCCTCGATTCAGAATTACTTCAGTTTAGAATATATATAGCTAGCTTGAAGTACGATTAGGTAGCTCTAATCTTTTCAGTGCTAGAAGGTGTTTTTATCGCGCACGCGTCACACTTCTTCGACGGCATCTCGCGATGCCACACTACGCGACACTACGCGACACTAAGCGACACGACGCTCACGAAAGTTTTCAATGCGTAACTCACATGGTTCTACTTGTCGACTTATTTTATCTTTACTCCTTTTACGCGTATAAACGCGTACAGAGCTATTTCCCATTCAGCCGAGAATCCACTGGCAATCGCTTCATCTTTTTATTAAAGCGTTACGATTGTCAATATCATTTAGTGAAAATCGAATTTATTCTTTGCTCTTGTTTATCTCCTCTTCAATGTGATAGATATTTACATAAACAAGAAAAATATATACAATATTGATTGTGATTTCCCGAATTGGTTGTCCAGAACATGGTCAAAGTGCCATGGCTGCCAGTTTGAATATCCATAATTTTATAAGTCTATTTAAGTAGCATTTATGCTGAATAGACCTATATATATATATGTATATGTATATCCTCATACTAACACAACGTAGGGCGAACGTTTGGCACGTTTCGCTTGCTACTATCTACTTTGTCTCACCTACAGTGTCTCATCTCAACTGATCTCTACTCTCTACCTCTTTGCGTTCTTCTCGTTCTTCTTTCTTTGCTCAGAGCTGTATTTGCCAAGTTGGCTATATTGTCTGCCTGCCTGCCTGCCTGCCTGCCTGCCCGTCCCGATTCACTTGGTACCGACGCGCGGAAGCATTCAAGGACCGGCGGCCGATTCTTCGATTTACAAGTATTTACAAGTCGAAGTTTCCGCGTTCGACGCGACGCGGAAATTGAAAAGTACTCGAAGATCCGAATGATTTTTCGGTGCTCTTGTTGCTGCCACGTAAAAAAGAGACGTCTCGCGGAGACACGTTGGCAACGGCCTCTCTTGTTCTCCTTTCTATGCGCGTTCTCTCTTCTCGCTTGCTGCTCTCCCCTCTTCCTCGCTCGAGTTAATACATTGTCTTACTCGCCGGTCCTCGAGGAGCGACTCCTTTTCGAGGATTCCGTCGGATTCCTTTAAACGGTCCGAAGAGGTACCGTTAGCCTTGGTCGATTCGATCAGATGGTACCTCGGTAACGCGCACGCTTCTCTCCCACTTGGTTCTTCCGTTTAGCAGTAACTCCCTGTAATATCTTCTTTCTTCTCTATCCATTGCTTGCTCAAGATGTCGCTTGGAATCTCTGGGAGGTTATCGATTCGTTCGGTAGTCCTAGTTGCCAGTTCTCATTGATTCACCAGCATCCAGACTTCAAGTACGCTGACGTTCGATAAAAGTTTTCTCTCGTGCACTCGCACACCCGCGTGTCGATCCATCCTTTTTCTTCTCTCTTTCATTGGTTTACGTTCAGGAGGATCACAGGAGGATTGACACTCCTCACGGACGTGTTGCAAGACACGTGTTGCGTGGTTGTCAATGAGATGCGTTGATTCCAGGCTTTGATTCCAAGATTGGGAAATATTTAAAGCTGCAGCTACATGCATCGTGGTACTTGTTCTCTTGCATCCTTTCTATCCAGTACTCGGTCCTGTCGAGATTTTATTTCGCTGGAGAAGGAAACGCGCAGCAAATGGAGTTTTCGAAATTCCATTATAGGTCTGCGGTTCTCATGAAAATAGTAATATCAATTGCTGATACAGCACACCTTTGTAATTGTAATGGGAAAGGTTAAGGCAGTCGCATCATCAGGTATCTCATACACTCTCTTACGGAGGGGTCTCACGGGCAGCAGGGGTAGTCGTGTTAAAAATTAGAAGAAGGGATAGGCCTTACGTCTATATGTCATGTATTCAACGAGGTTTATATTTTGTATAAATGGATCTTACGTATCTCATGAATTTGTATGCATATGGAGGAATAGGTAGTCTGTAAAGTAGAGAATTCTCTGCTTATAGGCCGCGTAGTGTATCTACGTAGTATAAATTTGATAAATACAGACGGTACGTGGTAGTTGTTTTTCCGCGCGAAGAAATTCTTTATCTTCCCTCCCTCCGTTTCTCCGCTCTGGTTTCTCCGATCGATTAGCAAATGTTTGAAAATAGCAACAGCACTCTTATCGATTCCCAAGTTTGAAGATTATAATCAATAGTAATAGTATATGTAGGTACCAAGTGCGTCGGTGGATTTTACTTCTGAGGATTCATGAAAAATGAGAATCACTTGGAAGTCAATGAAGTGTGCAGAGGACGTAGTTGGTCACGGGGATTGTGATCGGGGGAGGGGGGAGGGGTCAAGGGTGATGCAGGCAGGGCTAGGCCGATAGAAAAGACACACGCGCGTCTCTCGATTGTCTGGGATGGCGTCTCGATCGAAATTAAGCCGCGATGCGTTTCGTTAAGTGCAGCCGGGATGCAATGTCGGAGCTGCATTGATTCGCCAATACGCAATAGCGACTAAAGGGAGCCTCAGGAAGCGCAGCAGGGATGCTCTGGGAGCGGCGACGGGTAGCCAAGACCTCTTCGTGGTGGAACACGTATTTGACGGATGAGTCGGATGTCTCTTCAGGAGGAAGAACGGAGTCTCCAGAGCACAAGGCCTCCGAAGAGCTTTCGCAGGGTGCTCTTTAAGGAACATAGAGTATAGAATTTAAAGAACGAGAGGAGCACTTTGTTTCCGTAAATACTGCGTTTATGCAGAAATTCTTATATTCTATGGAAAATCCTTTAGTACGCCTGCCAGGGAATACGCTCCTTGGGATTCTCCTGTATTCTTAGACTTGAGAAACGCAGAGAATAATGGAGAATCCAAGCGAGCCATGGAATTGGAAGGTTAGAAGGTTAAAGTACAGGGAATTCCTGAGACAAAGCAGAATACGTTAGTTCATTCTTAGGGCCACTGTCAAATCAGGAATGATTGTGACGTCGACGACGGTGAAAAAAGAACGACGGCGTGACGTCAGGAGGGCTAAGGAAGAAATTGAAAAGCTTGTGTCGTTCGTGCGAGAAGGCAGAGGCAGACGCAGACGCAGACGCTATGCTTACAAAGCGCGCGGGTTGGTGAACGACGAACCCGAGTCCGGGGATCCGAGATTGGGCAATGGTTCTCTACGGTGAAACGGTGGAACGGTGGAACGGTGGAACGGTGGAACGATGGAACGATGGAACGATGGAACGATGGAACGATGGAACGATGGAATTGTGGAATAGAGGAACGGGGCTACGGAAGAGAGGGCCTTGCGCGCGGTGCGACGTCGCGTTCGTGCGAGGAACAACTGCGCCACGTACGGCCGGAAAGAGCCGAGGAGATATCAGGGCCGTACGGGTCGCAGGAGTTCTTGGCGTCCTTTTAGATATCCTGAAAATTGGCCCAATTCATACGTCTGAGTATTTCTCACAAGTGACAAAAATAATGGTGGAAATTTTTCTGAAAATTTTCTTTTTTTTTTCATTCTGATAAAATTGCGTCATATATATTAACTCTGGATAATCCTGTCGGCCTTGCCAAATTAAATACTCAACTTTACGAGAAGTTTCAGGGCAGCGATCATAAACACTGTTGCTGGTGTTTCTGGTGCGTCTAGCACTGTCTACCACCTGGAAACTCCTTTCCCTCTGGTTTGCAATGGTTTACAGCTCCACCTCCTCTTTTCGTTTTCTGCAAGGTGGGAGCGTGCTTAAGATTCTTTATGTGGATTTCCAGAGGAGATATGCGAGAGTCTGGCGGAAAATTACTTTCCTAAAGCAGCGACAATCGGCTCGTAACGATTCGAATGCCCGTTCTATCTAAGACGATTTATCCTTAGACGCTCAAAGGATGGAAATCGTCATGATCACATCACCTACCGGCTAGAAAGTTTAGGAGTAACACTGGAAAGCCGTGAAAAATCCTGAGGTCGCGGGGTTGAAATTTCTAATCAGGCACATTCAGGGATTCCTATTTGGAATACTCGTTGTTGCTACGAGAGACACTGTCAGCCGCTGTTGTTATTCGGATATCTGATTTTAATTTAAAAAAAAACTGAATATGTATAGCGTTTTAGCTTTGGAATCATCAACTTTTGTTAACACTCAGAAATCCAAAATGGCAAAATATTCGTAGTAATTTTAGTAATTTATTTTTTCCGTGTACCGCTAAAAATCCGATGGTGCAGTAAGGTAGAATTACTAGTTATCGTAAATGGAACTGAAAAGTTAAGAAAAACTACTGAATAAGAAGTGTAGAGCCTGTAACAAGAATCGGTTGAACATCTTTTGAGGATTAAACGAAGGACGGTCGCTTAGGGGGGCGCTGCGCGCCTTATACGAAGTACGGCACTGCTTTGCAATGGCCACGAACGTCGCCGAGGTTTCCCGGGAACGGCCGAGCGGGTCTACGGCTGAGCCCGAATAGCTCGAGCGCGAGCTATGGCTATTGACCGAACCTGGCAGACCGGCCGGTCAGCTGTGAGCTGAGCCGAGTGACTCTGCCGCATAACTTGCCAGCACTAAGGAGTCTTGGACTCGTCGAAGAAAAGGCGAACAACTCGTAAAGTCCGGCTAGATCTGGATAAACATTGTGTTCGTGGAGACGTTCGCGAGAATCGTCGTCGTCGTGTCGTCGTCTCTCGAAAGCCTCTTGGAATCCTTGACGAAACCCCCAAAAGAGTTTGCCGAAAAGAGAGAAGAGAACGAGCGAGCGAGTGATTATCGAGTGAGTGAGCGAGTGAGCCAATGAACTGGCACGAGAGACAAAGAGACAGGCTGCCAGTGAGTAAGGAAGAGCGAGTAAAAGCGAGTTAAGCCAGAAGAGAATTGAAGGAGCGGTTACCGGGTGTCATTGTGTCGCCGCTTCCCAAATATCCAGTGCTTCGAATTGCCGGCCTTCGAAGACCGAATCCGTTTCTCTACTGTTCTACTGCTCGAGTACTCAAATACTTGGCGAGTGGGCCAGTTGTATAAAGCACAGCTAATCGCCGGCTGAGCCCCTCGGGGATCGTTCCACTGGCTTCTCGGATCCTCCTCGTCGTGAGAGGAGCCACTCTCGTTCGCTTGCAGCGCGCGACACCGTGAACGAACGGAGATACGAAAAATCGAGGAAAAACAGCACGGTAGCAACGGGGAAACCGCACACGCGGCAGTGAAAGCCAAGGCGGTTTAGTACGAAGGCAGTGAGCCAGTCAGCCAGGCAGCAACTTGGGCAAACGTAGAAACTGCCGCTCTCAGAAACGCCACTCTCGTGTCCTCTCGCGAGATATCGATAGACCAAGAAGAGGAGAACGAAAGAGCTGATTCGACTTACTGACTAGAGGCAGCCGGCCAACCAGTCAGCCAAGCAGCTAAGCAAGTCAGCCAACCAATTAGCCGGGAAACAGAAGTGTGTACAGAGTGCTGTACAGGTGTGGTGTGCTGTTCGTGTGTCGTCCGGCGAAAAGCGCAAGCTATCAGTGGACTTTTTAATCGCAAAGTGTAAGTGCATGTGCCTGAGAGGCCGTGAAGAAGGAGGAGCTGCTTGAACTAGGTGGAGAAGGTGCTGAAGGAGGAAAAGAAAGATGAGCTGTTGGTGGAGGAAGAACACGCGAACGCATGTTCTAATTATAATGTGAAGAAATCAGCCTATTCGATTGTCCGTCTACGCGGAACTCTCCTCGAGTCTGTTCGCCGCGTTTTTTCGTGGCCGTCCTCGAAACTCGCCCTGACGATCGATTGATCGATCAGCCGGCCGTTACGATTCTTGATCGAGTCGTCTGTGATCTTCCCATAGAATTCCGAAAAATTGGATTTTTATATTCTTCATTCTCAATGTATTTTCTATACTGAGCGAAGACCAGCACTTGCTTTTTCCTTCGTAAGGACAAGAGATTCTAGCAGTGATTGTGTGTGTGTGTGTGTGTGTGTGTGTGTGTGTGTGTGTGTGTGCGCGCAGAGGTCTCACCGAAGAAGATCGATTTCTTCGTTTCCTGCGAAGACGGCCTGAGAGTTCTTTGAATTTTATAGAAAATTTACTTCGCCGGCATACGTGCACGCTGCTCTCTCATTCTCTCTCTTTTTTTCTCTTTCTATGAATTGATCACAATGTAACGCAGATGGAAAGAGATAGTTTCGTCCTTTTCATTAAGAAATGTGCGCCGAGCAGCAAGAGTGGCAGGAGCACCAGGAGTAGCTGAATCCAAAGGCGGGATCGGGAAAGCGACTGGACGTTGGAGTCAGAGAGCAAGCGACGTGGGGTGGAGACTGAGAGAGGAAAGGAAGAAGGAGAGTCTGAGAGGCCGAGAGTGTGAGAGAGTGTGAGAGAATAAGAGAATAAGAGAATGTGAGGGAGGGCAGGCGCGGCGCGTGTTGCCGGTCGATCGTGGAGTCGAAGGAACGTTACTGGGACGACCTTGAGAAACTCTGGGAGATCTAGGAGGCTCATCGAAGTCTTCTTGAGCACCCTGAGTTAATTTAACCTGGACACCGAGGAAAAAGGAACGGAAGACGAGGCAAAGAAAGAAGAAGAAGAAGTTAAAGAAGAGAAGTGTTGGCAATTGTAGAAGAAGAAAAAGTGACATATAAAAAGTAAAAACGTTGAAGAAGATAAGCTGTAAGGCTCTTCGTGAAGTTTTCGTGTGATTTCGTGAGACGCGTAAATCTCTCGCGGCATTCCGAAAAGCTCGAATTATTTCGGGCGAAACCTGTTGTGATACGAAGACGAGGTGGAAGGTGCAGGAGGAGGTGTGCTGAATAAAGAGAAGGAGAAGAAAGAGGACAGAAAGGAGTTTTGCGGTGTGTCTTGCGGTGAAGGTTTGCGATGATGATCACGGCGGTTGTGGTGCCGATGCCGGTGCTAGCAGCTTCGTCTTCTCGTTGCTAGGAGCAAAAGGTGGTAGAACAGCTGCTGGTTGTGCCGGTGGTTCTAAGTCTGGCAATGCTCCTAGTGTATGGTGAGGAGACGCGTCGAACCGTGCTTTGCGTCCTGAGACTCTGTCAAAGATCTTCACGAATTGGCACGCTGACTCAAAACCGGTTCCGTTTTACTCTGCCGATTCCGCGTCCGTAAAGGTCGTGTGCCGAGCGAAGAATGAAATTTATGGAAAGCGAATTTACACGAGGACCGTCGTAGGTGGTAGAAAGGAGGGTCAAGAGGATCAAGTTGATCAAGCTGAAGAGTCTCGTAGTCGTGATAGTCTTAACCGCCAATGTCATCGAAGCTCTCTAAATGTTGCCGATCGCCACGCTCGCAAGTCCATCCTGGGTCATACCGAAGACATCCTTGAAGATGCAGCTAGTTTTTTTTGGGCGCAGCTTATTCGAACTGTGATCATTAGAGTTTAACGTTCAAACGAGGAGGAGGAAGAGGATAGTCAGATGATAGTGGGAAGGCTTAATAAGAGTAATAAAAATAGTGAGTGAGTGAGTGAGAGGGAGGGAGGAGTCCTAATTTTGATAATCTGTTTGCGATAAAGTTATTATTAGGCGGAAGAGGAAGATAGTGTCGCCGAGGAAGAGAGCCTTAGGTGGTCACACTGATTTCGGTGGATTACCGTGAAAGAAGATCAGGAAGTCTAGGGGGGGAAGCTTCGGTTAAGTTGTGAGAGAGGCGACAGTTCCAGCAGGTAGACTGAAGAAGAGCGAATGTACGAAATGGAGGAGGAGAGCAAAGGAAAGTGGAGGAGCGGCAGTTGTAGCAGAAACAGTCTGAGAGTGGACCAAGAGTCGTTAGCCGACAGTCCGTGGACGGAACGGCGCAAAACTTAATTAAGCGTTTAATGAGCCTGAGGAAAGTGCGAGGCGAACGAGGAGGAAGCGGAAGAAGAAGAAGCAGAAGAAGAGGTAAACGAGGAAGAAGACGTGGGCGCAGAAGAAGAGGAAGTAGTGATGAAGCGCGTGGTAAACGCGTCGGCTGCCCAGGTGCAGTCAGTGGCCCAGAAGATACAGCAGAATCTCCATAATCCAATAAGTCCCGAGGAGGAGTCCTCGGCTCTGCCGTTTGGCCCCATCAACGGCAAGTCCTCCTCGGCGAGCCTGAAGCAGCACCAGAGCGCCACGACGAAGAATGACTCGAAAATCTCGCCAGCTATGTCTCGACTGTTGGCCGTAGACTCGGACAATTACATGCTGCGAAAGGGTATAGGAAGCTCGGGCAACGGGACCGCGTTGGACCGCACTCCTGGCGCTGCTGGTACTACAAACATTAGTAACATTACCGATATTACGTCTGCGATTGCTGCTACCGCTGCAACGACTTCGACGATCGGCGGATCCGCCGCGACAATCACGCCGGCCATTGCGAGCAACGTCATTCAGCATCAGCAGCAACAGGACGCCGCGAGGCAGCGAACCTTTGGTATCTCGAATGGCTCCAAGAGTTCACTCTCGATAGCATCTTCGCGAGTCCTCACCGTCCAGGAATCGACGCTGACGGATGGGACTTTTAGTGATTCGTCGAAGCATCAAGAGTTGCAACTAGCGGCCTTAGGATGCGAGCCCAGAGGAGACTCTGCTGTAGCCTCCTCCGGCAGAGGGAGCACCACCAAGAGCGATCCCTTGTCCCATGTCAATCACCCGAATCACTCGAATCACCCAACCCAGTCGGGTTGGCCAAAGAGTGCAGGACAATCGGCGGCGGCGGCGGCGGCGGCGGCGGCGGCGGCTGCTGCTGCTGTCGCTGGTGGCGGTGTTGGCGGTGTTGGCGGTGTTGGTGCTGTCAGTGTTAGTGGTGGAATGACCCAAGGACGATATTTTTCCGGTCAACAACAGTCGCAGTGTCAATTTTCCAGTAACCCGAGTACCCCAGGGACAAACCCGCCGTCCCCAAACCCAGTCGACGTCGTCGGCCTCGCGGGTCTCGTAGGCAGCGGCCTTTTGACTGCGTTAACGAATACCGGAAAGCAGGTGCCTTCCTCGAAGCAGGTCCTGGACGCGATCCTCCGGCGCATCCTCAGTGGGCAGAACATAGCGGCTGATTCGCAAGCCTGGCAGTTGGCCGGTCTCCAGCTGCAGGTGCCGACTCGTACTGAGTGGGAACGCGAATCGTCAGGAGCTCTTCTTCCTAATGGATGCGCCGAAGGCACCGCTTACGGGGAAGCGCGTAATGTCATCGGCTGCGACGAAGACGCCATAGTTACGTGTGCCAGGCCCCTGTCCTTCCATCATTTCATGTGCTGGTGCGGCAGTTCTCAAGTGCAGTCCAAAAGTCCGGATTCTAACCTTAAATCATCGGACGAGAACTCTGTCGATTCTAACGTTACGACGGACGTTGACTTGGCTAGAGCTCGTAACAATGGCACTAGCAACAATCACAGTACTAACAAAATAAACATCAACAACAACAACAACAACAACAACAACAATAATAATAATAATTGTAGTGAAAACAATAACAAAAATAACGGGGCACAAATTAGTAGTGGCAAGCCAGTAATCGATAGGGTAGCTAATCATGTTAATTCATATGGGAGTTTATGTTGCTGTATGTGCGGATCTCTCTGTCCCTCAGAGTGCCACGCGTGCTTCCACGTCGTCTGCTCGGAGTATAACGGGCAGCATCCATGCCAATGGAGCACCAAGGGTCATGCTCTGCCGGGGCAGGTCTTCGACAAGGACAAGGTGAGTACCTCAAATTCAGCCTCAGTCGCGTTTCCTATTCAACGAGTTATTATACGTCTATCAATTTCTTTCTTCGTTCTATCTTTTCTTTCTTCTCTGTTTTTCTGTCTTTCTATCTATATATCCGCGCTCTAATAGGTTATACTTATTACTTCTTAACTTCCTACCTTCCCACCTTCCCACCTTCCCACCTTCCCACCTTCCCATTTTCAACGACGATGCCTCGATTGTGTTGCGATAATTAGAAAGGTAGTCCAGCTGCCCTCGGGGCCCTCTCTACGGTAGAACCATATCGCACTGGTCTTCAGTTCTCATGGGCCACTTTGCCCAAAATTTCGAAGAAGGAAACGGTCACAATGAGCTGGGAGAAAACTGCTAAAAGAAGATGTTTCTGCCTCGTTCTTTCGTTCTTATTTTTATTTTTATTTTTTCGTTAGGTGTCCATATATATTTTTCTTCTATTCATCAGAGTAGTCTCCTGAACAAGAACAAGCTCAACTCTCGAGCTCTAACCCAGGCGCCATTCCTAGCCTTGCGTCATTCTTTTTCAAAGTTTCCTCATCTTCCCGAGTTTCTCTCCCACCGTCTTCCTCACTTCCCTTGTCTCCTATACTCTTCCTCACTTCCGTCCTCGAGTCTCCGGCAAAGGAACATTTCCTTCCTATAAAGATAACAGTGTTCCCTGTGCACGGTTGATTCTCGAGCGGGGACAGTAAAATGAAGCCTCTATTTCCTGATGCTGGATGACAAGGAGCGTCGCCTCGTCCGCGTCTCCCAGAGACGTCGATCTCGTTCCCTGGCGCCACGTTCGAACCAAAGACGCAATCAAAGCCAAACTTGGTTGAGTATCTCTTATGGATCCGTGCCGGAGACGCAGTCTCGTAAGCAAGGAATAAATAAGTCAGCACTGTGCTAGTATTCTTCTGCATCGTAACTCACTAAACGAAGCCACTGCCATAAGTGGTTAGTAGTCGGTGACTACTAACAGAGGAACGATCCCACGAGTAGCAGCGGTATATCCAAGCCAGGAGTGCCAATGATGGCTCCTAGTCGGCTGTAAACCCGGCGTAGGCGCAATAGGGAAACGGTTCCACGCGCCCCTTCCTCTCGTACAACCTTATCAGCGAATAGTCGAGTATCTCGCAGTCCGTTTCCGAGAACCGTTGCGATTATCAGAGCCACGCTCTTATGATAGCAGATAAGTGCATCTTCGATCAGGAGAAGCGGAATAAGAGAAACGTTGGGCAAAAGCCAAGCTGCGCCGCAGCTAAAAAACGAAAGGTGTGCCAACGAATGAAACGCAACGGGTTCCCCATCGTCCGGATTCACGCAGCAACAGCTGCCCTTTAAACTTCGAGGAAAACGTAGATCGCGCGTGGCTTGACCAATCAGAAGAGATCCTTCGGGCTATCAATAAATATTCCAGCTGTCCGATTGCCCCGTGATTAGCAGCGATGGATCGACATTCCGTAACTAGGAACCACTATAGGAACTAGGAAGAAACTCCTCCGTCGATTGAGGCTCCTTTCGAAATCCAGAGAATTATCGAATTCCCATCTACTCTCGATCAAGCATAATACCGATGCCGATGCCTTTATCGACGGCCATTCGGCCACGACGATGATGCTCACGGCCATCTAGGAAAGCGCAATCGCACCACGATTCGAGGATCCTTCGTAGCTACTTGAACGATCCTTACATATAAATCGGTTATCATCGGCAGTTTAAGAGTCATTGTGTGTAGGTAACGTGCTAGGAGGAGGGCGGGCGGCGGGAGGGCGGGTGGCGGTGTACCGCCCGAGCCTAGGAGACGCAGCAGCACGCGTTCTGCATCTATCTTTACTCTTTTACACATTCTCCAGGTATACACGTGGGCTTCTAAGCTCCCTTCCTCCCGTCTCTCTCTCTCTCTCAGCCTTCTTTCAGGTTTTTTGTTCTGTTACGTTGACGGTCTGACGTTGACTACGGCGATAAACTTGGTAGATAATTTCTCATTCATTCTTCGTGTTTCGTGTCCGGTCAGCTGTTTGTATAGTCGACCGCATGCGCGTATTTTCATTAATGCTTTTCAAGGAAGTTGCTGTCTTTACTGTGTATATCCATAACGATATATGATCAGCGGACAGACTGATAAGTAAATTACAGATACGAATAGCATGTAGCGAGGAGAGAACGGAAAGAAAAATGGAAAATAAAAAAAGAGAACTTGGATGTGCCAAATTTTCGTATTTTTACTCAAGAGTTTGGAGCAGCTTGAGACCAATGTATTTTCTATGTTACGATGTGGCAGCATTGAATATCAGGCAGGGGTTAGGTTAGGTCTCCTCTCCTTTTCTTCATCCCCTCAATCTTTATCTTTTTTTCTTTTTTTCTTTTTTTCTTTCTTCGCCCTCTTGCTCTTCCGTTATCAAATGTTCCATCCTGTAAGAACTGACATCCAATCGATCAGCTTTCTGCCGTTCCTATATATACATTTAAAATACCTCGTGCAGGTCTTCACACAGTATATTCGTAAATTCGCAAGCAGAAGCGCGTTCTGGAATTTGTATTCGATTCTAAAATAGAGCTAATCGCCAAAAATAACCTGAGCACACTGCATACCTTATCTCCTTGGCACTTTCCTGGCTTTGCTTTTCTTGCTGCTTTTCGGATATTGACCGACGAGACTCTCTCCTGCTTAGAAGTATATTTTTCCCCTCCTTCCTCCCTGCTCTCTTTTCTATCTTTTTTTTTTTTATATTCCTACAGCAATTTTTTCTCGAATCTTTTCTCTCGTCTCATATCTTGGGACCACGTGTGCGGTTTCAAGCACTCCTAATCGATGCTTTAATGAAAATTGCGAAATTGCCTGGCATAGAGAATTTGTCGCTGACGTGCGAAAGAAATTCGACAAAAAATCCAACCTCTCGCTCTTCTCCTGTGTTCTCCCTGACGATATCGGACGTTGTGCGACTAATTAAAAAGGTGGACAATCGTTAACACCCTCGCCCGTGTCTCCCAGTTTCCCGTTTTCTATAGTGTACAAGTCCTAAGGATTCATCTCGCGTTATTCTACAGCTGCAAGAATAGGCGCAGCCATCGAGCTCGAGCTTCTTCTCTGAATATTCCAACTATTCGTGATACACTCCAGTGAATCGCGTCTTCGTACTACCCCCCTCTTCCTACCCGCCTCTTCCTCCTCCTCCTCCTCCTCCACCTCGAGTAGACCTTCCTGCAGCCCTTTTAGCCCTTTCTCCTTTTTTCCTTTTTTCCTTCTCTCCATCTCTCCACACCTCTTCTAACCCTTTCTTATAGCCAGCACGAGTACCCTTTACCCTTACGTCTCCGTGTCTAGCCTATGTGCCTCATACACGTGTCGCTCCCCTTGAGTTTTGAGTTTTCGAATCCGCGTCCTGGTTCGCGTAGCCCCACACGTGGAGCCTGCGATATTAACGCAGCATTGTCTTCGTCTTTTTCCAGCCCGTGAGTGAATGGACATCTTTGAACGTCGTTGAATGGATGTCAGCCCTAAATCTTTACCGCTATGCGGACGTCTTCAAGTCCAAAAACATCAAGGGCAGCGATCTCATGCATTTGGATCGGGAGAAGCTGATGGTAAGACGGATCCTTCTTTCTCTCTCTCTATATATATATTTCCTTTTTTTTTCAGAAATTTTCATATGGAAATTTATTCAGAGAGATCTAAAGAAATTTTTGATTTGCTGCGACATTATCGTATTCGGCTTTTACTCCTCGTACACTATTATAAAACATTCACTCGTTCTCATGGACAAATTGACGATTCGTACAAATGTTCGAAGATTCTCGTTATCCTCGAGAATTGACATGTCACGGATTCACAGTCACACTCGCATGTGACTGACATTTGACGTGACTCGAATCGTGTCTTTTAAATATCGCGAGCTGCGGAATTCGCTTTTCTCGGATCACAATTTCAGACCAGTCAGGTGGTACGTGCTGGTGAGTGGTCGTTGATAACGGAGAGGAGAGGTGATAACTTTTTAGATGATATTGAACGGCGCTTATTTTGATTATTTTGATTTATTCGAGTTCATTTTAGCATCGTGAGATATTAATGAGTCACGTACGATTTTGCATAAAATTTGTCCCAGGAAGTATGTAGGTGCATCATTTTGCACTGAAATATATTATATTTTTCTCTCGGAGCGTATATTTTAGGGGATGTATGGAGAAGCATGTGCAACTTTGATAAGAATTTCATTGTTATCCATCGCTCCACAAGAAAAAAGAAAAAACCATTGAATTCATAGATCGACTATAGAGCTGTTCTTATACAGTAAGACAGGAGTTCGAGTAAGTGACCGGCGAAGGTGCGTTCGCGCATGCGCGTCCTATTTGCGGCTGATTCTTAAAGTTGCCGGGGAAAAGGGCCTTCGTGACAAAAATGCACGGCGTCAAGGCTTTTTCGGCCGTAAATCTTGATTACCATACTAATCGACTCATAAATCGCGAGTGTGTCCTCAACGCGTGAAATATATTGATTTTTTCTCCACAGTTCCTCTCACTTTCCTCCTTCCCTTCGCTCGTCTACCGGGCTCTGTTCCTCTCTCTCTCCCCTCTCTCTCTCCCCCCCCTTGCTCTCTTTTTGTTTCCTTATCTCTGTACCTTCGGTTCTTGTGCGTTCACGCACACGTTTGCGCGATCGCTACTTTCTGGCTCGTTTCCATTCGGTGGCTGATCCAGCGATCTAGCGATCCAGCGATCCAGCGACTTCCGGGTCGATCGCCGCTGCTCCTCGAGCGCAGCACGAGGTCCAAGTGTGGTGCGCGACACGGAATTGGGCGTTTTGGAAATTGGATATTCGAAAGGGGTTCAATGCGCTAATGTAGAACGTGCGTGTCTTCTTGGACTTGTTGCAGAACATGGGAATAAAGGATGAGTTTCATCAGAAGAATATTTTGGTGTGCATCGAGGAGCTCTGCCAGCCGTCGCAGCAGTCGCTCTCGGGCTTATCTCTGGCTGCCGTCAACGACAGCGTCGCCGCTGGTGTCAGCTCGACTTCCGTGACGCCGACGCCGACGCCGACGCCGACGTCGTCCTCGTCGACTCCAGCCACGAGCAACGCGCACAATCTGGTGCCTCACAGCTTCAGCGTCTTGGAGAAGTGTGACAAGTGCCATAAATATCTGAGGGGTCTTCTGCATCAAGGCTTCCTCTGTCAAGGTAAGTATCGGCCGAGGGAGTACTGCTCGACGCCTCGAGCGTCCCGACGCTTCGCGAACTTTCCTGGCTCCAACCGTGTGATCCGCGTGCCGTATCACACAGCTGGAACTCTCGATGGGTGGAAGGAAGGACAAGGACGGTATCGTCAGAGCGTCGGGACGACGGGGCGTCGGAACGTCGAGGCATCGTGGCGCGCGCTCGACTGAACCTCGACACTTGAAATAAAATAACACGTGCCTCGTGGCCCTTCCGGTCTAAGAGCATCCAAGTCTGTAAGACCATTTCGAGGCTGTCCGACGACGAACGAGAGAAGGAGAAGGAGAGAGAGAGAGAGTGAGGGAGAGAGAGAGAGAGAGAGAGAGAGAGAGAGAGAGAGAGAGAGAGTAAAGAGGCTAAGGCGACAGATCGAACGACGAACACGAGACGCGAGAGACACCGATCCTCCTCCTCGTCGCGTCTCTGGCCTGGACTCGGAAGAAGCCTCGGAAGAAGGGGCCTCCGATTGGCGGTTGCACCGGCTGGATGGGACGCGGAGGGACGCGAAGGGGCGCCAGAAGCCAAAGGGCCAATGTCGCCGGCGCCAGGCGAGCAGCCGTCCTCGCGTACTTTTCAAGAACTCGCGGGCATTGGCTATCGCGTCGGCCTCCATCATTTCCCCCTTGCGAAAGCTCTCGGCGACGTCGGCGGCGTCGGCGGCGTCGGCGGCGTCTCTCCCTGATACGCGTAGAGTGGAGGCGTTCGCGTACATTAGACACATTCGACGGTTCTAGCGGCGCGAGCGCCTCTCGACGAAATTAGTAGCTCGAAGGTCGCGACCAATCGCGCGCGAGTCCTTAATCCTCTGCGCTGCTCCATTCGTTCATCCTTTATCCTTTATCTTACCTGCTCCTCCTCCTGTTCCTTCTCTTCTCACCTCTTCTCTCTCGCAGTCTCTGTCGACACGTCGAGGCAGGACATGGCCAACGATGCCACGACTACTCGCAATCAGTGACGTTTGCGTAACTTTGCTTCTCGCGTAGGTTGCGGCCTGGTCGCCCACAGGACGTGTTCGGCGACGGGTTTGCCCGACTGCCAGCCCCCCGAGCCTGAGGTCGTCCTGGTCAACCGATTCACATCAGGTAAGTCACTAGTCACTCGCACGTGATCATCCTCCCCGACATCCCCGCACGAGTCAAGCACGTTCCACAGGACCTGCCAATCGGATATACGAGGACAGACGGTAGTGACTTTATCTATTGGACAAAATCTATTGGCCCTCTGTGCTTCACTTTCTACGGTACACCATCCCCTTTCTCTTGCTCGCGCGTTTTTCCCAAAGAGGTCCCGCTCCTGAATCCAAGTTCTCCCAAGTTCTCTCGAGATCAAGAGATCCAAGAGATCAAGATGCCGAATCGGCTTCCCACCATTATACTTTTTTGACGCAATGGATTTGATTAACGGCGCGGACGTTGTGCTCCTCGATGACGGAAGACAGTATTTGCGTGCAGCAGATGAGCGGACTGGCCGGGATGGCGCCAGTAACAAGTGCGGCAACCGTTCTGTCTCTACTTTTTCTTTTCTCGGCTCTCGGCGCAGCACGCGCGATATCAAGAACTTTTGACTCTGGGACGAGGAAAGAGTTCAAGGGACTCTCTTAATTTTATGTATTCTTTCGGCTCCGCTGCAGGATGCCCGGAATGTGGTACGGTAGTAGGATAGTTCGGTAGTAGGATAGGAGAACGCCGCGAGAGAACGAGGCGTGGGCGCCATGCCCATAAAAATTAAAATTTTAACTGGCATAAAAAGGTCTGTAAAAGTGCAGGCATGTGTGCGCCCATACGTACACGTGGGAGCGTCGTGACGCCGGAGAGAATCGCTCTTCTCTCCCCCCCCCCCCCCCCCCTC